TGAAGTATAAGGCCGATGGCAAGATAGAGAGGTACAAGGCAAGGTTAGTAGTAAAAGGGTATGGTGTTGATTATCTAGAAACCTTTACACCAGTAACTAAGATGAGTTCAGTTCGTATCCTTTTATCTCTAGCAACTACCTATTCATGGCCCTTGTTCCAGCTTGATGTCAAAAATGCCTTCCTCAATGGTGATTTACAAGAGGAGGTATATAYGGACATTCCAAYAGGCTTTTATGAAAATGTTGGTAAAGGAAAGGTGTGCAGACTTAGAAAATCTCTATATGGATTGAAACAGTCACCTAGGGCTTGGTTTGACAGGTTCAGAGGGGCACTCATCCGTTTTGGATACACACAGACACAGTTTGATCACACCCTCTTTGTGAAGAGGAGAGATGCTCTGGTGTCAATTCTGATTGTGTATGTGGATGATATAGTGGTGACAGGAAATGATCTGGARGAGATTGATGATMTCAAAAAAYCATTGCAGCAAGAATTTGAGATCAAAGATCTTGGTGAGCTCAAATACTTCTTGGGGATTGAAGTTGCAAGATCTAAGCATGGAATCTTCATTTCACAGAGAAAGTATGTACTTGACCTACTGTAGGAGACTAGGAAGCTAGGTACCAAACCAATAGACACTCCTATTGATCCAAATTACAAAATTAATAGTGTGGATGGTGAGTTGGTGAAAGATGTGGGGAGATATCAAAGAATGGTGGGCCGATTGCTGTATTTGTGTATAACACGACAAGATATTTCTTATGTTGTCATTGTTGTGAGTCAGTACATGCATGCACCTCGGGTTCAGTACTGGAAAGCTATTGAGAGAATACTTGCATATCTGAAAAAGCACCATGGTAGAGGCATTCTTTTCTCAAATCATGAGAATCTGAAGCTAGAATCCTATACAGATGCAGACTGGGCAGGATGCTTAAATGACAGGAGGTCTACATCAGGAGTGTGTACCTTTGCAGGTGGAAACTTGATCTCCTAGAAGAGTAAGAAGCAAGCGGTTGTGGCAAGGTCAAGTGCAGAGGCTGAGTATAGATCCATGGCTCATGGTGTCTTAGAACTTCTTTGGGTTAGATCTCTTTTGAGTGAGATTGGGGTGAAAGCAGAGGAACCTATGATATTATATTGTGACAATCAGGTTGTAATCGATATTGCCCAAAATCCAATTCAGCATGATAGGACAAAACACATTGAAGTTGATAGACACTTTATAAGAGAAAGGGTAACAACCGGAGAAGTTTGTTTGCCTTATGTCTCTTCAGAGTTGYRGCTGGCTGATGTTCTCACTAAAGGGGTGGCAAAGAACAAGCTTGAACATGATTTACGCAAGTTGGGAATGTGTGACATTTACTCCCAACTTGAGGGGGAGT